CGAAATAGTTTCTGAATACAACGAAATAGTTTCTGAATATGACGAAATAGTTTCTGAAGACCAGTTTCTGAATACAGTGCAGTTTCTGAATCCGACTTTGTTCGTGAGATGGTACAGCACCGAGACGGAGTGGACCCACATCGTCGGTGCTTTGGACGCCGGCTGAGTCGAGTGAGACGGTGTCGACCAGTCAGCCCTTCTGCCTTTTCTCAACACATCTCACGACCCAGGGACTCTCAGTCAGACCAAAAGCGACACAGGACCCTTCGATCACCGCGATCGCGCAGTCGAATCCCACGCCCCAGGAAGACCTTGTGGCCATGTGTCGATCCCCTTGGGACCCACACTCTTCCAGCCAGCCACTCATGTCTTGCCTGGTGCAGCTTTGCTGATTTGTCCACACTGATCCACGCGATCTTGGCACCCTTCTCATCTGGCTGTGGGTCACCCACAAGTACCCCTTTGTGAACATCCGAAGAGTAAAATAGAAAAGTCGAGAACTTCAACCTAAACACTCTGGCAAAACAATTTGAGGGCCTGTCGGCTAAGAGAAAAACAACTGGCGCTGCAAGATACGAGTCATTGGAATTGTCTTGGCGCGTAATGCTCTTAAGGGTGGTTGAAGCACATTCCTTCTTGAAGCAGCCAAAACATGTCTAAAGTACCTGCCCAAGGGTGGTACAGGACCTCTGTCCTGATTGTCCTCTTCAAGTGCAGAGGGAAACAACTCAACCGATCCGTCCAGAGGATGAACACATGTTTTGAGAAAATCGCCATGGTCCCTTTGAATAAGTTGGGCTCTTTGGCAGCCATCAATTTCACTATGTCAAGCAGCTCTCTGATTTGTCTGGTCCCATGTTTGCAACCGCCCTGCAAATGATCAGAACGCTGAAAACCTAGCAGCTATCAAAAAGTGGACGCTTTAATGTTGAGACGTTGAGACTTAAACCTCGTAAGTCGATCTCTTGAAGAAAACCTCCGACAGCAGCATGCCGGTACATATGGTCATTAGTAATATAATGTATGATTGAAGCCTGATCCACCCCGCACCCTTTCTGTTTCAACCACTTCATCCCTCCATCCACGTCTCTTCTCTCCATCTCGGCTCCCCAGCAGGTTCACCCGGCAGTCTCGCTGGATCTTCCGAGGCGACAGCCCCTGGCGCGCGGAACGGGGCGGAACGGGGTCGGTGCCAGATGTGCCAGGTGCCAGAAACCAATGGGTTGTACCTTTGGATAGATTTGGGATACCGGGTATCCCCCTCTCATATCGATTCATCCACCAACTATAATAGTATAAGGCGTGCGAATCTCCGCCCAAGGCGCCGCCCCCACGCCCCCGGGCCTCGGGGATCGGCAATCGACCACCCCCGGCATCCGCCTCCGAACAAAGCCGCGGCCGGTCCGGCTCGTCGCTCCGTCCCACTCGGCGGTTGATGCATGGGTCAAGCCTGGTGAAGCTGTTTGGG